ATTCCTGCTCCCCCTGAGAGGCACTGGGCTGTACTGGAGTAAGAACTAACTTTAGATGGAGACCTGAGTTGAGTCCCTTCTCTGCCATTTGCTTTCTGGTGACCTTGCACAAAGAAAACAGGAAACTGAAAAGTTAAACAGTGAGAGAAATAAATTGGGATAGTTCTTAGTTAACATTATAAGAAGTAGGTAAGAGTCAGTCATCCATCACAGATAAATGGTCAGTGTATGCTAATTCTTTCCTTGAGTCCTTTCAAAGACAAAACTTTATACAGTTGAGAGGTTATTTTTGCCTTTAAGCTTACAAAGGTAGGTTATCAATAATAAGCAGAGATAGGACCGTGTACAGTGTCTGTGAGCACTGTCAACAGGTGGGTTATGTTTTCAGTGACTACATTTCTACCAGCCTAGGAAGCCCAGTTTCTCGGTTTTAATATTACAGACCTGCCCATTTCATGTTATCCCAAGAGGTGATTGGTTACAGTGAACCAGTAATTCTCTGCCTTTCTGTGAGTTCTTAAGGTCTGCTAACTTGTTTAATTCAAAAAATGATAATTTCTATATTAACATGTATGTTTACAGATCTTAAAAACCCCTCCACTGCTAAATTTACCCCTTTCCTAGTAATTGCCAAGAATTCACTGAGAGTCGTATGATCTAGAAACCTGTTGTCATTGCTGTCACCTGCTGATGTCTACAGGTGAGAGTGAAGACTGCCAGCACTTTGCTTTTGGGTTTTTATTAACCAACAACATTGAAGATTCTGAACATAAAACCAGTCTTGCTCATTCAAATATTAGATGTTCAACAACTGTAGAGAAATGTTAGAGGCACGTCGTAGGAATAGATTTGGTTTTGCTTAGGAACAGATAGAAAATATAGTATTATCTAAGTTGAAGTTTGTCATACTAATTCTATTTTTGTTGAGTTCCCTCAACAAAAGTAGTACAATTCAGCAGTGATGTGGCAGAATATTGAATTGCCAGTCTGGGAGTAAATAATCAGATAAACATCATATATAAAGGATTCGTTGATTGGGTACTGGCTGATAAGAATTTTTATGATTATTTTTCTCTTTGTATTTTGTACATTGGAATTTGCCACAATAAGATAACTAAAACATTCTCTTTTCTAGATAAAATTGTAAGGAAAGCTGGCGATCTGACTAATGCATATGTTTATGAAGTGGGCCCTGGACCGGGGGGAATCACACGATCTATTCTCAATGCCAATGTTGCTAAACTTCTGGTGGTTGAAAAGGACACTCGATTTATTCCTGGATTACAGGTAAGATACTAAAGTGTCTGTTTTAGCAGGTAAACACCTATTTTTAAATCCTTGGGCCATGGTTCTTAAATCCCAAGGTATATAAGGATTATACAGGTTGATCCTCAAACTGCAGATCCCTAGGCCTATCCCAGAAATTGAATCTGTAGACCACAGAGGTCCAGAAATCTGTATTTCTAGCAAGCAGACCCAGGTGGTCTGTTAACTGCATCTTTATATATGGATGCTAAGCATCAGTTTGTAATCTTTTCTTAAAATCTAATCACTGTGCATATATTGGCTTCCCCATTCCTTCAAAAATAAGTAAAACTAGTAATGGTCAATATGACTCATTGGCATTACTTACTTTTGAGAAATTCATTGACGTTCAAAGAAAGCATTTCCATAAGCAAAAGATGGAGAAGACCTAGACTAGCCCATCTCGGAGAGAAATTAATTGCCAAGTTTAAGCATGTCTTTATTTATTTATTCATATTTTTTTGCCAGAGGGTATATATGCCCTCCAGAGAGAACAAGCACCCTCCCATCCCCTATTGGGAAGTGGCCATGCTATAATCCCTTCTCCGTCCTATCCGAATTTGGGAACCCCTTGCATATGCACCTGGTATGCTTTTCAGTCTACAGGGCCCAGGACTTGAACTGTATAGTCGGCTGCCTTAACCACTAGGTCACAGGCCAGCCTGCTAAGTCTAAGCATTCTTGAGTGAAGGAATGAAGTTGTACTACTTTATTTAAAGATTTAGATGGAGTTTTAATGAAATTATACATGCATCTTTAAAACACTGGTGATTTTATATTGTGGGAAATATTTGAAAGAATTGGGAATGTTTCAGTTGAAGCAAAGAAGCCTCCAGTGAGGGTATTTATCGCTGCCTATCGAGGTTAGAGAGGATGAGTGTGTTTGGATCTTTTCTAGGAAAGAGCTAAGATACATAGGTGAGAATTGAAGCAAGACTGAGCATTTGAAATAAGAAGGAAATTATATTTTTAAAAGGTTGGCAAACAGCAGAGCAGATTATTTCAGGGATCTTGTAAAGGAATTCCTTGTAGGGGGCACTTAATGACTCAAGGGCCTTTGTTTGATTCTCCTATAATTCTAAAAATTTAAAAGAGCCCTGTGCTTTTGGCCCAGATAACTAGCAATTTATTATGTGACTATAATAGAATAATAAAATTATCCACATTATTACTTCCATACAAGAGGACAAATTGTTTTAGCATTAGCACATTCTAATACTTGTGCATGTGTTAAGGGAAAAATGCTTAACTTCTGTCAGAACTTTGTGTGCATGCATCAGATTTTTTTTTTTAGAAGTTTAATGATTTCTCATTTTATATATTTTGGGTTTTATGCTTTAAAAAAATGTGTAATATTTAATTTTACCTAGTTTCAGCCATTTGTACTGACAGAATTGGTTTCAGATTTATGACTTTATTCTGGGATTGTCACATGGTGCATTTTTCTTTGATCAAATATGGCGTTTATATTGATTTTTGCTTTGAACTGTGTTCTTTCTTACAAGAATTACATCTCGGTTGGAGGTAGAAGTGGAAATATGGTAACTTTTGGGGAGATATGAGATAATAAAAAAGAAACTGAGTAACATTGTGCAAACTCCCTTCAGATTTATTCATTTAGAGAAGGATTGTCTGACTTTTTTCAACTTTAGGTGCTTCTTAGTTTTCAAATCTCACTGTCTGTTATGTGCATGCTTTCTTACCAGACAAGGGGCTGAATCAGATTTCTGTTCAATCCCTTTTCATTGGGCTGTTGGTAAGTCGTGGTTCATTTTTGCATAGAAAAAATATGCCATGACTTTTCCAACAACGAAATAACTTACCCATTCACCTCTCTGGAGTTTGCCTTAAAAAGGAAGTGTTGCGGGACCAGCAGGTGGTGTGATGACTATGTTGCTGGACTCCCATGGAGTCGACCATGGCTGAGTCCTGGACCTGGTGGCTTAAACTCACACCAGGCATGTGCGCTTGCATGCCCAAGATCCCTGGAGGAGAAGGGATTGCAGCGTGGGTATTCCCGGGGGGAGGGGAAGGAGTCTCTCGCTTTCTGTCTCTCTGTCTCTCTCTGTCTTTCTGGCGAGTGCACGCACCCTATAGCAAAAACCTCTCCAAGGGGAGACCAGCAGTTAGCATAATGGCTATATCGCTGGACTCCCACATAGTTGACCACGGTTTGAGTCCCAGACCTGGTGGTTTAAACTCACGCTGGGCGTGTGTGCGTGCATGCCCAAGATCCCAAGAGGAGAATGGAGGAGAAGGGATTGTGGCGTGGCCATCCCCTCTGGGTGGTGATTTCTCGCTTTCTATCTCTCTGTCTCTCTCTGTCTTTCTGGCGAGCGCACGCGCCCTATAGCAAGAACTTCTCCAAAAAAAAAAAAAAGGAAGTGTTGGGGGGCCAGCAGGTGGCGTGGTGGCATAGTGGTTGAGGCGCTGTCCATGGCCAACTGTGGTTCAAGTCCTGGACTTTGTGGCTTGAAAATCACTATAGGTCCGCATGCATGCCCAAAATCCTGAGAGGAGAAAGGAGAAGAAGGGATTTCAATGTGGTGATCCCCCCGGGCGGGGGATGATTTCTCACTTCCTCCCTCTCTCTCTTACTTTCTCTCTCTCTCTCTTCCTCTCCCTGGCAAGCACACACACTCTATGGCAAAAACCCTTTAAAAAAAAGTGCTAAGTACTAAAATATCATACTTTTCTTTTTTCTATAAAGACTGTTTCAATATGTAAAATCACTTTCTTTTAGAAGTCCTAAATTAATCATAAAACTGAGTAAAGGCAGAGGAGAGTGATCTATTTTAAGGATTCCATTTTAGTGATTTCTAAGCTAATAGAATTACTTTTTAAAGAAATTGTAATAATTTATAAAGTGTCTCCTAGCTGAGAGTATGTCATTTGTAGTTTAATTCAGTTCTTACATTATTATCACCAGGCAGCCTAAGGGAAA